CCCGTCTTTAGGAAGATGAGCTTGGGTGTACTGCTGCAGGCTCTAACTGGATTGTACCTTGCCACTAAGCATCACGGAATATATGTCAAAATCCTGCAGCAGATGAACGCCAGCAGGGATCCTGAGGAGTTACAAGCGTGAAGCTAAGCAACTTCCCAAGTGCCCTGGCTAAGTCACCGTAATAAACAGAGGAAGAACTTGGTGCTTGCTGTCTTTTCTAACAGGGAAAGGCAGTTAGGGCTCTGCACTGTGCTTTTCAGTGCTGAACTTAGGTCTGTCATTATGTCCAGCTTAGTGTTTACACGTGAATAACAGCTTTACAAGGACAGGTGTTTTTCTTTGGAACCGGGAAAAAAAGAAGCGTTTATATTGCCTGCTTAGTGTTTGGCTCTGGGGTGATGCTGCATCTTTCAGAAGCCATATGAGTATTGCTGAAAAAAGGCTTTTTTTCTTCATAATGCAAACCTCGGTGATTAAAAAAAGGGAAGCGGCGATATCAAGGCAAGGTGGTTCCAGAGATTCACTCAAATCTGACTATTCTTCTCCCTTAACTTTCCTCCATTCTGCTGTGTTGTGGTCTAACCCAGCCAGCCACCACACAGCCCCTCGCTCACCTTCCCCCTCCTCCTCCGGTGGAGGAGGAGAATTGGAGGAAGAGACAAGGAATCTCATTGATTGAGACACAAACAATTTAATAACTGAAAGTAAGTGAATAAAATAGTGATACCAGTAATACTAGCAATACCAATAATACTAGAAATACCAGTAATAATAGCAATACCAATACTACTAAAATTATTACTACTAATACGTAATGAAAATACTACTACCACTACTGCTGATAATAATGTGTAATGAAAGGAATGGAAAATAAAAGAAACGGTACAATTGTTCACCACCCAGTGCCCAGCCAGGTCCATAGTAGTGGGAGCCAGAGCCGGAGAGCCTGGGAGAGATGGCACCAGTGAGCCGGAGAGCGAGCAAGAGAGACAGACTGAATGAGAAAGCCCACCAACAGAGCCCCCGGCCCACCCCCAACTTACGTACTGAGCATGATGTTCTACAGCATGAAACGCCCCTTGGGTCAGCCTGGGTCAGCTGTCCTGGCTGCATCCCCTCCCAGCTTCTGGCAGCAAAGAAGCTGGGAACACAGGGGCAGTATCAGAAACTGGAAAATTGGTGCCAGCACTCCTTAGCACCAACTAAAATCCACCCTATCAGTACTAATCTCAGAGCAAATCCAAAAACCTAGCTTCATACCAGCCACTGTGATGAGAATTAACTCTGTCCTGACTAAACCCAGCACACTGGGACAAACCACAGGTTTTAGATACTCTTTTTTTAGGGTGAAAGCTGAAGACTGAGGAATGTGAGATACAATGTTTTCAGTAAGCCACAAAGAGCTGGTTCCAGCAGGAGTGATGAATACACCAAGTGCAAGTGTGTTCAGCACTGGTCCTGTCGAAGCTCAGCGATACACTCCGTAGGCAGGAAAGGCGGTGTGTTGTAAAAGAGGAAACTTTAGTTGTAGCTGTGTACTTCTCCTTAAACAACTCGGTGGGGGGAAGAAGGCTCAAAAGGAAATAGAGACTGAAACTGCTTCCAAGTTCAGGAGGACAGCGATGCTATTGGCAAGCATCACGACGGAATGCCCTCACAGAAGCCCAGACACCGTCCCCGTCTTGTATGCAGGGTACAGCATAACATACTTTGTACAACTCGAGAGTCACAGGAGGAGCTATTACCAGTCCTTGGCCTCCCACCACCTGTACAAACACCTTGCCAGCACCGCCTCCCTGTTTGAAAACCTGAGAGAACAGGTTTCAGTTGTACCCTTTTTTCCTCTGAGGCGTTAGTAGGAGCAGGCCAGTGGCAGGCAGCGTACCGCAGCGGTAGCTTTTACGGCACCCTTGGAAAGCACACGTAGCACGGATAGCCTAATGCCACGGACGTTCTACGCAGTCTGAACTCCTGCCAAAAGACTGCTGGGAGACCGGCATCAGCACCAACAGGGAACAAAAGCACGGATTTCATCTACGTGTACCATTTTTGATGCTCAATCTCAACATTCCAGTCTATCCCCCAGCCTCCTGCAGATGATACCCCCCTCTCCCCTGTGCCTGCCCTAGTCCAGCTCCCGGCATCCTCCGGCTGATGGGCAGAGACAATTCTCTCTCCCAGTCTGCCCATCCTACTCCCACTGGATGAGAAACCGCAGGATCAGCTGCTGTCAACGCCGTTTTACACAGGTTGAACATCTCCCACACCTGCCATACCTTGCAGACCAACTTTTAGCACATACAAGCCTATGGAGAGTACTGTTGGCTCGAGCAGAAAGCCTCTTTAGCCACAAGCTCTAGAGAACCTGCGCTTTTAAAAATCAGTAAATGTACAAAAAGCCTTTGCGTTTTGCAGATGTCTGCAGTTCACAGGGAAAACGTTACAGTTTTGACAAGTGGCCTGAGAAACGTGATACTCTGGAAGTACCGAGAGATACCAAGTGTTGGAACACAGTTCCCTACGTTTACTGCGGTATCACCTCTCCGGGCAGCTTCGTTTTACCCTCTCAGATGCTGCTAAGCTCTTCGGAGGAAGGAGCAGTTAATTTAGAGTGCTCCCGAGCCACAGCAGAAGAATCACTGCAAAGGCCTAACTGAGTGCGGAACTGTTTCTCATTTAAATGCTGAGCAGTCTCCACGTGGCTGTGGGGTGGAGAAATCCCAGCACATGAAGGCAGCAGAGCCCACTGGGTTCTGTGCTACCTACAGCTCAACTAACAGAGATTTCAGTGCTGAACAGAGTATGTTCTACAGCCAGAGGCCAAGAAAGCAGAGTGTGCCACTGCACTATTAAATTTTTAAACCCTTTTTTTGGGTGAAATATTGCTTTTTATCAAGCTGCAGAGCACTTTCACTGGAACGCCTGGATGCTAGAAAGCCAGCATGCTATTTTAAACTGCTCACTGCAAATAAAGCACTTCAGATCAAGGGAAAGCAAAGACGCAGTGCGTGGCTCACGCCGGAGCTTCAGCACCCCTTGGTTACCCGCACCCCAGCGTTCAGCGTAGAGAAGGTTCTGGTTTAAGAGCGTATCGTCAGCTAGCCATCAAACTTCAGAATCTAAAAATGGGGCAGAAAGGAGGAAGATGCCAACAGACCATGGAAGCTTTTATGTAAGTATCCGACTCCGCCATGGTTTATTGATCAAACGTATCCGCGTTAATAAATTATTAAGCAGGAAAACCAACTGTAAAACACAAGGCGTGGCAATTCTCGATTCTCAGTACAGCTCGGTTCAAGGAATAAAGCCTTCATTTTGTCCTGGCCCCAAACTCCAGAGATAGGTGAGTGAGAACATTTCTCCTGGATACCCTGCTCCTATTTATCTCGTTTTCCAACACAACCCACAGAAAGAGCAGCGACAGCAACCTTCCCCCTTTCTGGTTTCCCACGTGGTGAAACAAAGCAAGGCATTAATGAGAAGGATGAAGAAAAACCATCTGAGCCCGTAACTGAAAGATCAACAAGTCTGGTTTTATTATGATACTGTATTCTGATCTGGATGGCACATAATTACAAAGAGACATTTACAATATATTTTCAAGTATTAAGTTATGTCATTTCGAGGCTTCCACTTCAAAAAGCTACATATTAATAATACACCATACAGATAGTACAGTCGGTTAGAATTCCAAATAACCTCCTCCCCTCTATTTGGTTTAAATATGATTCAGTAGGCACTGGAAATGCCTGCAGCCACTTACTTCCTTGGGACTTGACCTCGTACTGGTATACATCACTTTGCATGTGAGAAAATCAGCTACTCTCAGACACAGCGCACAGGTAGTTTCGTGACTAGAGCGATGTGCAGGTTCACAACAGAGACCAGAACTACGTCCCTGACCCATACCGTTCAGAAGCGATGCAAAAAGAAAGAATGCATATTTAAGTTAACTTAAAAACCGCTCCTACTCTGAAGGAACTGTGAAAATGCCACTGTAACATCCCATACTCGCTACGTTAGTGTTTCTCTTTTCACCAAGTTCAACTTCAAAGTAAAGCACCTTTGTGAAGTCTGAGCTAGGCAGGCGGGGCCTAGAGCGAGCAACTCGGTCGCTTCCACTTGGCGCAGCAGCCGGCGCAGGGTTTGCCGGTTAGCTCGCGCTGCTGGAGCGCTGGCACAACCCATCAGTTAAGCGGGGTTATACACAGCTTACGACGGAAGCTTTGCACCGCCCTGCTGATGCCAGCACAGAGGAGTAAGGGAATGCGTACCCCACCGAGCCTCTTCTGTGCTGGCAAATATACCTTGGGCAGATGGAATTCTGCATACAGTAGAGTAAAACCTGTTTGACAGGACATTGTCTTTTTAAAAAAGCATCTTGGATGGCAGTAAATGATCCCAGCATTCAACCTTTTTTGTTTTTTTTTAACCAAAGACAGCAAAAGCCCTGTTACCTCTTTATTCTCATTTCTTATACTACCTTTTAAAATAAAGCAGGAAATGTGGCCAGCAGCTGGTCCCGTCTCTTCCGCCCCAACACAGCTGAATCCACTTTAGCATAAAGAAAAACAAGGATGCTAAATACACATATACTTTATCACACAGTGATGTTTCACAAAGAAAACTCAAATTCCATTTGTACTGATGGACAAGGATCTAGCACTAGTAAAGCCAATGACTGGGAGAAAACGCTTTCACCGTCTACTTAGCCTTAAACACACAATTTAAGGCTTTAAGAAACAAGACTTCAGAAACACTAATAGAATCTTCTTTTTTTAGCTTAATAAATGAAACTGTTTTAGGAAAGCCTATTCTTTGTGAAACCTCACTTTACATGTCATCATTTTCACAATCCTTATTCCCCCAACTGACATACATAGAAACAGCCTAAACATTGTCATACAACTGAAAAAACGACCCACTCAATCTTCTGTGATAGGGAGAAACACTGACTAGTACAAGAAAACACACGCTATGGTTTGGCAAACTATTTTTCCTCCTATCTCAGTTAGTTATGGAGCATTTTTTAAATCATTAGCCTCAAGATACATATTTGCTCATCTCCAAACTGTGCTTAATTATATGAAGTTATAGTTTTCTGGATACTGTAAGAGGCTAAATTAAGAACTCCACAGTAA